AGATTCATTCAATGACTCCCTCCAACCCATCAGATCCGGGAAAAGCAGCTTGAGCTGAACGGACGAATCGTGGCGTTGCGGGACTCCAAGGTTCTCCTGGTGTCTCGGCTGCAGGCTCAGATGCAGCAGCTGCAGAAGGTCCAGCAGCGTCTGGCGGTTCATCTCCACCGGCCTCCGCCCGACCTGCCCACCTTATCGCCAGAGGAAACCCCAGAGGAGAGGCTCCACTGCAGCCGAGCCAAGCTGGAGAAATACCGGGAGCTCAGGGAGCAGAGGTACAGAGAATCAACACTCTGTTCTAGAGAAGGATTATTTAACAGTCAAGCGTCAATACTTGTTCTTCTGCAGTAGGAATAAAGGTTCAAACAATGCAGATGAAAGCAGCTGCTGAATTTATATTTTAAAGACAACATTATTTTGTTGTCTAACAGGTTTACGACCACAGAGCAGGAGGAGCAGGAAGGAGCTGTGAGTCTGTTGGAGCAGCTGGAGAAAGAAATGGAGGCAGAGGAGGAACAAGAAGAAACCCTCCGTCTGTCAGCTTCATCTGAAACCGGAAAGGAAGAAGAAGAAGAAGCTGTGAATGAAGAGCTGAGCGAGCTGGAGGAGGAGCTGCAGAGGGAAGAAGGCATCCGACTGCTGCACGAGCAGGACTCTCTGCTGGAGCAGGTGCTTCAATAATTCACTTTTAATCAAATAAAAACTGGATTAAATGTGTCGTAAAGACCAGAAAATCTTCTAGACTCCGACACGTGCATGCGTTTTGTGGATTTTTAGATGGAGAGCTCGGTTCGGGAGTTTGACTCGGAGCTGCTGCTGCTGCATCGCCAGCAGCTGCGTCTGGACAGTCGGCTGAAACTGGCCGACCTCCGGATGCTGACGCTCATCCAGGAGATGACGCTCCTCAAGCAGTTTGAGAGGAAGGAGGGAGGCCTGCAGGAGAAGCTCGACGAATGTGTGAAGGAGGAGAACGGCATCACGGTGGGAGGAGTTCATTTATCTGTGGACTGTGTTTGTTCAGTCTACTTTCATGTTTTACCCATGCTACATGTGCTAATGCTACATTTTTGCACTTCTGTTTATCATGTGTAATGCTGTAAATGTGCAGCATCACACTATGCCTCAACACAAGTGCTGTCCTTATAGATCTTAATCATCTTTCCTGTTTCCTGGCAGTCTAAGCTGCAGGAGTGCAACGAACAGCTGGAAGACAAGAAAAGAGACATATCGAAGCTGCAGGAGAGAGAGAAGTCTGTGACTGCTGCCTTCCAGGCCTCGCTGGGGGAGAACAACAAGTTCGAAGAGTTTCTGACCAAAGTCTTCAAGAAGAAGATCAAACGTGTCAAGAGGACGGAGCAGACAGGACGTGAAGGTGAGGGGGAAGGTAACGCAGCCAGAGAGGACGTCTGTAGCAGTTTGTATTTGTGCTGTTTATGATCCAGACGTGTGTTTGTAGGAGAAGAGGAGGGCAGCGATGAAGACTCTGAGGAAGACGACAACTGGGACGATGACTACGCCAGCGACGCAGACGAAGCAGCTCTGGACGACAGTGTTTGTCCTGCAGGTCGGTGCAGCGACGCAGGAAACACTCAGATCATTTAGTTTTTCACAGTAAAGTGGAAACAGGAACTATTAAATTATTTCATATTAATTTTCTAACATGATGGGTTGTTTGTTGTTACCTGAATTCGTTGCAGCCTTTTTGTCCTGCATCACAGTAATTTCCCAGACTGGGATAAATAAAGTATTTTTCTTTTCTATTCTATTCTTCTTTCTTTTTCCTTTTCAAGCCCACAACAGCATCACGTAAATGTGAAGCTCTTCAGAACACAACCTGTCTGACAATGATTTGAATTTATGTCATTTAGCCATTTTAGTCGAGTTTATGCATCTAGTCGAAAATGGAACCAAACCGAACCAAAAAAAAACACAGAACGTGTCATCTTTGGAGGGTTAAAGCTGGATCCTGCAAGAGCCTGACCATAATGTAGATCTCTCTGTTCTTACATCGTACATTTCTTGTTACAACTAATCAAGTGTTAGACCAGAAAAAAAATACTTTGAGAGTTTCTTAAGAAAAAGGGACGATTCAAAAAGTTTTCCTTTGGATCACATTGTCAAAAAACATTTAGGGTCCCTGATGTACTTCATAGCACTTGGAAATCTCAATAAATCTGATTTCATGTGAGAACAATAAACAGATAAGTAAGGCTATCGGGATTTAGATTTTTTCAGACAGAGAAGGACAAAAAAAAAAGGAAGGAAGGAACGTCATGGTGTTTTGGATGACAGTGCTGCTCCTCTGTGCTTCATAAACGTCGTCTTTAGGTATGAATGTGTGTTTGTGTGTCTCAGGCTGTGAGCCAGAGTTCTTCGAGAACACGCTGCAGCTTCGTGAGCGTCGGCTGGACCTGGAGGAACTTCTGGTGGAGGAGAAAAAGATCGCCGAGGCCCTGACGAGGGAGCACGACACTTTGATCAAGAAGGTCGAATCTTTTCATCACTGGCGTATTTCTGCTGTCGTGTGTTGTTTCTCGTGCGTGCTTGTTTTTGTTTTACTTTTTTTTTTTTTTTTGTTAAAATCTGCAGGAGAAATCAGCGAAGAGCAACCGGATGGCAATAGAATACGACTTGGAGCTGATCAACAGGGAGAAGCTGCAGAAAATGAACGAACTGGATGTGGTGGTTCCTCTCAGACTACACCAGGTAAACGGACGAGTGCTCGGGAGGCTCAGTGATGACAGAAACAACTCAGAGCTGGTCAACAGATGTCTGCACATTTCTGTTACTCCTAGAAGACCGATCCAGGGAAAAACGACCAACTAAAGCAAATGAATCACCAACCACACGAGCCATCCTACGTTTTCTAGCACACCTTGTGTAAATGTGTAAGAATGTAAAGCAATTTACATGTACAAAGAGAAAGAAATTCAAAGAATATACACTTAAAGCAACTCCTTGTTATCTTTCTTGGCAAGTTTTAGACTGAAATTTGAAAGTCTAATCAACCATGGTCCTCTGCTGGTAACCAGTGGATTTTCTCCTCCGGGTTGGGGTTGAGTTGCTTTCTCAAGCGAGGGAGTTAAAGTATCTCGAGATCTTGTTCACGATTGATGGGAAAATGGAGCATGAGGTGGACAGGCAGCTCGGTGCGGCATCAGCAGTAATGTGGGCGCTTGAAGAGGGAGCTGAGCCACAAGGCGAAGCTCTCGATTTACCAGTCCGTCTACATCCCAACCCCCACCTAAGGTCACAAGCTTTGGGTTGTGACCGAAAGAACAAGATTGCGGATACAAGCAGCCAAAATGAGCTTCCCCCGCAGGGTGGCTGGGCTCAGCCTTAGCGATAGGAGCTCGGAGTAGAGCCGCTGCTCCTTCACGTCGAAAGGCGCGAGTTCAGGTGGTTTGGACATCTGATTCGGATGCCTCCGGAGAGGCTTCCTCTGGAGGTCTTCTGAACATGTCCACCTGGGAGGAGACCCCGGGGCAGACCCAGAACCCGCTGGAGGGATTATATCTCAGACCTTGGAGCGCTTTGGGATCCCCCAGGAAGAGCTGGAAAGCGTTGCCAGGGGGAGGGAAGTCTGGAATTACCTGTTCCACCTGCTGCCTCCACGACCCGACCCCGGATAAGCGGAAGAAAATGGATGGATGGATGGATAATCAATCATTCCTTTACTGTATGCTGATTAAGGCTGTTCCCAATTGATAGCGACTCTCTTAAGCTCAGTCCTTCTTCTGCATCTGCTGTTACGCATGTGTCAGCACTGGATGGCGTAAGCTGCATCAAGATACTTCATTTAAAACATCTTGGCTCTGGCTGGAGAACATTGGGTGTCATCGGTCTGTCATGGTGCCCATTGCTGACTAAACTCCCACAATGCTCTCTGCTTACCAACACAGAATTGCCCGTAGTCCAAGTTACCTCTTCTTGTGTGTCTACAGTACTACAGAGATAGACGCTCCACCTGGTGGGACAACCAGGTACTACAGCTGCAATACATGTTCTGACATGCATGTAGAGAAAACAGGTTTTCATCATCTTCTGGAGCAGATGCAGGAATGCAGTTTTTTTTCTACATGCACTGCAGAGCTGCTAAGTTGTCCAGCATATAAACTGGAGTGATTTTAATAACTTTGATGTACTTAAAGTGTGGACTGTCCAAGAAAATGTTATTGGATTAGGACTCGGTATCGACATGGATTGGATCAGCGGCACAAAACTTAATTGGGACATCCTTATTGTTAACATTAGGCGTTTCCTTAAATTCAAAGGAGTTCATCTGAGCAGCTATGTGGTGGGTTTTCACTCAGAAGGTTCATTTTATCTAAATGGAAAGAATAAGAGGTGCCACTTTGCAAACATTTGAATCTTACAGAGAAAACATGGAAGCTGGAAAAATTGTCTGAACGTGCACTTTATCTCCTTTTGCATCGACTTGTTTGTTAACCTGGAATTAGAGCTTTCTCTGTTTGACCAGTCTGGCTGTTCTTTGTATTACTACTTTTTATGGTTATTTGTATTCATTGTGTGCTGTCTGTAATCCTTGTTTCCTTGGATTTGATTGTTTCATTTTAATATTTGCAGTTCTTGGACGTCCATACAAGCACTGCAGCTCTTGCAAAATTTGTAAAAATAAAAAAAAATTACATTTATTTAGTACTATTGAATGTTAACTTAACTTTTTAAACTTCCTAATTTCTTTCATTCTCTCTGTCCACATCGTTTTCTTCCTCATGTCCACCAGATTGAGTATGTCATCAAGACCTCGATACCGTCAGATCTGAGCGAGGCGTTGGTGTTGGACAAGACTGAGCTGACCAGGCTGCAGGAGCGAATCCAGCAGCTGCAGGCGGATAAAATCCATCAGAAAGATCTGCACCGTCAGGCTTGTCAGCAGCAAGCCAAGCTCATCCACGACCGCAGGGACATGGCCGCCAAGATCCAGAGTAAGACCCACGTACACCTGAAACTAGAGGAGCCCGATGTCTTCTCCAGCTCAGCCCGAAAACACAGAAGACGCATGGAAGTTCACACACACAAGTGAAAGTAAACAAAGAAATAGTCTTACGCTCATTGATCTGTGTGTTGCTGCAGTGCTGGAGAAGCAGTGCAACGAGCTGATGATGGCCAAGTTTGGGAAGCTGGTGGATCTGGAGGCCCTGCAGATGCTTTCAGGAAACAGGAGGCTGGAGGAGCTCAAGCACGAGAAACTGCTCAAAGAAGCCGAATACGCCAAAGAGGTCCAACAGTGGGATGTACGCTGACCTGTGTGCTTCAGCAAATGTGAGATCCAGACTTAGTGGAATAAGTTTATTGATTTATTTTTGTTTTTGTATGTGTGTAAAAATGTAGGCGAAGGTAGAAGAGGCACGTCAGAATCTGATGGAGGTGACCAGATGTAACACAGAACATCTCCGCAAAGCAACGAGTCTCTTAGAAGAGAAGAAGGAACTGGAGCTTAAACTCCATGCCAGGCAGAAGAAAATGGTAATTTCTGTGCATTCAATTCATTTGCAAGTGTATGAACATTTGAATATCACACTCATATTTGACTCAACTGTGTTGTTCTGTTTTCTCAGAATGATTGAGGAAGAAAGTTTCACAAAACTTCCCTTAAAACTAATTTTAAGTCGTGCGTATCGAAGCCCAATTTGTGACATCAGGGATATGTTTGAGACTAATCCCTGTCCAATAAAGTACTTGACAAAGAAAAGTTAGAACTTTCTGCACACAGACAATGAGAAGTTGTAGAGATCTTGCTTTGAGCACTAGACTTAATCTAATAAATATTTACATATGAAAAGATCCAGAATTTTTCAATGACAGGAGAAAAAGTTGCCATAGTTTGCTAAATGATCATTTTTGTAGAAAAACACCCATGAGACTACTTATTATTCAAAACACTATTAATTTCACATATCCTAATGTGTGACAGGAAGTGACCTTAAGGTGTTGTGACAAAGTAAATCCAGTGTTTAATCTCTTTTTAGCTCTGGTTTGGTCACCACCAGCTCCTGAAAAGTATATCTAGCTTCTTAGTCGCTCAGTTTTCAGTTGCTGCCCTTTCAGCCCAGATTGCCGTCTGTCCTTTAACAGGCTGTTCACAACTAATCCATCAGTTTTTTTATTTAATTATAGCACTTTTAAAGTCTTGACACAGCAGTCAAGAAGCCATCAAAATGTCTATCAGGTGGCATTTATGGGCTCTAATGCACATCAAGGGACTAGTGATGTACCAACAAAGACTTATTTCTTACTTACTTCCTTAAAGCGTTTTAGTATCATGACGAGTTTGAACACCCAGAAGCAGACACAAGTCACAGGCAGAATGGCCGGTGTAACACATTTTATTACCAACACCGAAAACAATAAAATGGGAATTGGATTACCTGGAGTTGATGATATGATGCAGAGCAGGTGACGAAGCAGTCAGACATAGCAGGCCGAAACCAAATTGTGAGTGCTAAAGGTAGAAGACTGGGAATCATAAAAGTATAAAAACAGGGAACACAACACCTGAGAGCTAGCCAAACCTCAAGACACAGACACAGACGGAATTTAACACAAAAACTAATAAAACTTGTCAACATAAGCGTTAGCACTAATGTTACAAGCTACAGAAGCGTTCTCAGGTGATTCCACTCCTGGAACGAGGTCTGACTAGTGCTTGACAGATGCTTTCAAATAGTCCAAAGTGAACATCGACAACAGTTTTTGTAAACACAACATTTAAAGCTGGAATTTGTCATTTGAAATGGAAAACGAAACGAAAGTTTACCAGGCGCCATCCTACGAGGACTGACCTCAGCTCCTGCAGAGTGCGCTTATGGAGCAGAAAGTAAAATGTGATTGTCACGGGAAAAAGCAACAAGTGCAGACACCAGACAGACTGATTGCGGCAACAGAAAAAAATTAACGTTAATAACAAAACTTCCTTAAAAGGGTGTAAGAATGCGAGACAGGGGGGCAAACAAAAGAGCAGTGGGAGATGCAGGAAAATACAAAACTAAAAGAGATATTTAAAAAAGAAAATGAAAAAAACACACGCAAAAAGGTACAAACACAAGGAAAGCAAATAGGATGAACTGGCAGAGAACAAAGACATTTGCGGGATTATTTATACCAAGGGAACTAATTAAGGTGACAAGACGCAGGTAAAACTCATGGGGGCATCAAAAGAGGAGGGAAAACCAAGCAAGGGGCAAAAACACAAGCGATCAGGGATGTAAAGTTTCAATCATTTCCTTAAATGACTGTTGACAGCATTATCAATCAATATTTAGTAACATAAAATAAACTAGGTATCGTGATGCTTTCTGATTTTTATCTCGTAACGTACGCTATCAGAAGTAATGCTGATTTAAAGCAGACCTTCTTCCAATAAACTTGAGAATTCTGGACGGCGAAGCATCACGGGACACTTTGCTATGGTTGCACTTTACGAGCTAAACTCCCACGAAGCCCTCGGTTTGCCAAGATGGAAACTGATGAAAGGCGATTTCAAAATCAAACGGGAGGTAACTGAAAAGGTGACGCTGACACTATAGTCCATCATAAATACTCTACGTGTCAGTCTTATCTCTTGCAGTCTGGTGGAAATTTTGCCATAAACTTTCATACAACAATTAAAAGTTAACGTGGCGGTGCACTTTCATTACTGCAGCCCTCCGTCTGTTTGTGTATCCAGGGCAGGCAGCGGTTCCAGGACTACAGGAGACACGTGGACCGGGAGGACGTCCGGCGGCTCCAGGAGCTGGTAAAAACACAGTCGCAGCAGGCCGAGGCCCTCAGGAGAGAGATCAGCCTCCTGTCCTGCAAAGGAGGCCACGTCTTGCCCCCAGACCAAACCCGACTGCCCCCTCTCGCCCCTTTGCCCACCCCCACGGGCAGCGTCCACACTGCGAATCCACACCAACAGCTGAAAGCACAAAACTCAGCCAGCAGACAGGGAGCTAATTAACTGTGGAATTATATCAGTAAGGCTCAATTTCATCACTGGTTATTTGATTGCCTCTTGACTTTTCTGCAGCACCGTTCTCGGCTAATTGGCAGAATTGTGAACGGGATCTTGAAAACAAATCAGCGTTACTGTAATTAGATTTGATTGGATGCACAAACAAAAGCATGACATACGTTGTTTCCCCTAGAAATGAATCCAATAGTTCTGTGTTTTCCGTCTAAGAGTCGCTGTAGTTGGTGAATGAAATGTTCAGAGAGTATGGGTTTGACTGCACACAGCAACCATGATGAAAAAACTGACATATTGATTTTCAGTCTGTCCCACTGGCCTGTGGCTTCATCATCACTTCGCTCGCTGCCTCTTAAAAAAGCAGCTGCTCTTTTTGCATAGAAATCCCAAAGCGACTTCAAGGATTCAATACCTGACAGTTTGGGGAAGAGTGGCTGTAGAACCAGCCCTCCTCAGTGCAGACAGATGTTCTTACCAAGGTCTGTCCTGAAGAAACACACCAATGTTTGCAGATTTAATGGAGTCTGCTCGAGCTGGTCACAACTATACCAGACTTGGACATTTGCCCAGTGTTTTCTGGGACAAATAAGTTACTAGTTTGAAGACTTTTTGAGTACAGTAACAAAAATCTATCTTGAAAAATATTTGGTGTGTCAAGCTCTGACTTCATAGATACCATTTTAGATGTCTGTAGTTTATGACACAAAAAGGTTTCGAGCAAATCAGAGATGGTGAAACAAAGCCACTGATGATTTGAGATAATAAAAACTCAGTATCAGTAAGTTATCATTATGACGAAAGTTGACTTTGTAGCTGATTGGCCACCATGTGTTGCGATGTGGGTTGAACTAACCTGTGATGTTTGGTCATCAGCAAAGCTCTTGTTGGAAATTCCCCTTTATTATTGCACTTTTGATGCCAATCCACTGACAGTGAATGGTTACAGAGGTCTAGGAAAGACAGTTTTTTGCAGTTAGGACAGCAGTGTCTTGGACTATTCTGCTTTCTGACTGTGGGTTTGTGACTGACTCTATTTAGTGCATTAAATAGGCCCTATATAAATTGGCTTTGAGAAGAAAGCAACTGTAATCATTGATTGATTAACACCACTTTTTCCAACACCTAAACAGTTAATTCATCCATCCATGATCTATACACCGCTTAATCCTCACGAGGGTCGTGGTGGGCTGGAGTCTATCTCAGCTGACTCAGGGTGAAGCCAGGTTCACCTGGACAGATAACCAGTCTATGGCAGGGCTACACTTAGAGACAGACAACCAAGCACACTCACATTCACACCTATGGACAATTTAGAATCACCAGTTAACCTCAACATGTTTTTGGATTGTGTGAGAGGAAGCCGGAGAACCCGGAGAGAACCCACGCTGCAAGGGGGGAACATGGAGACTCCACGCAGAAAGATCCTGGGTGTCCTCACTGGGACATGAACCAGGGATCTTCTAGCTGAAAGGTGACGGTGCTAACCACTGATCCACCTTAAATGATTCCATCATAGAAAACTAAGCGTTGTTGGAGTCATTGGAAACTCAGGGTTGCCATGATATACAAAGTCTTTAGAAATGTATGTAAACTTTGTTCACAACTGTATTTAGGGGTCCAGAGTTATAATGATCTGTGCTGGCACACACAAAGGTAGTGAGTGTCTGTGCAGGATCCATCAGCGCCTTCATTTCCATCACAGACTCAGAGTATCAGGCATATGTAAAAATATAACATTGAATTGTTGGAGAGCGACGATAGAGTCCATTGTGTTGTATTGCCAGCTGGTTCTAAAACGTAACAGTAAAAGTTAAAGTTCATCTCTCCAGTCTGGTCAAAAATGGCAGGAAGGACTATGGGAATGCCCACACTTGCCTCCCACAGAATCTTTTTTGAGCAGTCCATCCTTAGGCAGGCCAATATGACTTTAACTGACACACTTCATGTTGAATTCTGAATCTGGACGAATGAACCTCTGACAGTTACGTTCATTTTTTCTAAAATGGAGAACAGGGAGACACAGTAGCTGATTAAGGAGGTTCTCACAGTTAACCTGAACCGATCTGTAAAGTGCACAGTCCTTAACACAAGTTAATGTTTTACACGTGTGTCTTACCTGTGGATTTTAGTACGTGTGTTTTGTTTAGCAGCTATTCCCGCAAATATCTAAAAGTATTTCCTCCCAAGGGAGACAATTAAAGTAGCCTTGAACCTTGAACAAAGTTTATCAATGTTTTTTAAGAGAAGCCTGTTTGTGGATCATTACCTGCCAATAAAGATTCACAGTAGACATAATTATGCCACATATTTCCTCATTGAAGCCACTCCTCTTTCTGGAGTTAGGAAGAATATGAAAAACTTTCCTGCTTCCATCCAAACATTCATTGACACTTCGTCAAGGAGGTGAAATGGCGCAGCAAGGATTTCAGTTTGACAGGAAAGCACTCAGCTGTTCGATTTGTCTGGATCTAATGAAAGATCCGGTGACTATTCCTTGTGGACACAACTACTGCATGAACTGCATTAAGATCCACTGGGATGGAGAAGATCAAAAGCATATCTACAGCTGTCCTCAGTGCCGACAGACGTTCGGACCGAGGCCTGACCTGAAGAAAAACACCATGTTCGCTGAGCTAGTGGACGAAGTGCAGAAGATGGGACTCCAGTCTGCTCCAGAGGATATCTACATCACTGGACGTGGACACGTTTCGTGTGATTTCTGCGTTGGGAGAAAATTGAATGCTGTCAAGTCCTGTCTGCAGTGTCTGGTCTCTTACTGTGAGAAACACGTCCAGCCTCACTATCAATCTCCCGCATTTAAAAATCACACGCTGGTCAATCCGTCCAAGAAGCTTCAGGAGAACATCTGCTCTCGTCACAATGAGGTGATGAAGATCTTCTGCCGCACTGATAAGCAGTGCATCTGTTATCTGTGCTCCTTGGGTGAACATAAAGGCCACGACACAGTTCCAGCTACAACAGAAAGAACTGAGAAGCAAAAAGAGCTGAAGATAGTTTGTGAAAAAATCCAACAAAGAATCAAGGACAGACAGGCAGATGTGACGGTGCTGCAGCAGGAGGTGGAAGCCATCAATCAATCTGCTGATACAGCTGTCAGGGACACTGACAAGATCTTCAATGAGATGATTTCTTTCATCAACAATACAAGGTTTAATGTGAAGCAGCAGATCAGATGTCAGCAGGAAACTGAAGTAAGTCGGGCCAAAGATCTTTTGGAAAAGCTGCAGGACGAGATCACCGAACTGGAAAGAAAAGATGCTGAACTGGAGCAACTCTGCAATAATAAGGACGACTGCCAGTTCCTGCACATGTTCCCCTCGACTTCAGGACTCAGTGAAACACAGTGGCCTCGCCCTGAACCCCGTCACCTGCAGTACTTTGACAGTGTATCAACAGCTGTGTCAGAACTGAATAGTAAACTACAGAGGTTTCTGTGTGAGGAAATGCCAAAACTTTCAAAGATAATCACTGCAGTGGATGTTTTATTGCCACAAATGGAACCCACAACCAGAGAAGAATTCTTAAAGTACTCATGTAAACTCACACTGGATCCAAACACAGCAAACGTGCACTTGTTATTATCTGAAGGGAACAGAAAAGCAACGTATACGAGTAAAAAACAGGCATATCCAAGTCACCGGGACAGATTCATGACCAAGTCTCAAGTCCTGAGTAGAGAAGCTCTGACTGGACGTCATTACTGGGAGGTGGAGTGGAGCGGGTCAGGTATTATTGTAGGCGTCGCATACAAAGATATAAGCAGAACAGGAGACAGCAGTGAGTTTGGGAACAATGACAAGTCTTGGGCATTAAGGTGTGCCCATAAAAAATTCAAATTCAGTCATAATACAGAGTCCAAATCCATTTCATGTCGTGCATCCACCAGAATCGGAGTGTATCTGGATCACAATGCAGGTATTCTGTCCTTCTACAGCATCTCTGACTCCATGACTCTCCTCCACAGAGTCAGGACCACATTTACTCGACCGCTACATGTTGGACTTCGGGCTTATCATTTCATAGGTTCAGAATCCTCAGCTAAGATCTGTGAGCTGAACTAAGCTGGAGTTGTTCCAGAAACAATCAGTGTGTTTCTGTTAAATGGCTTTGATCCTCACCATTGCTGCTCTGCTTTATTTGCATAGAATAATGCATTCCAATATGATACCTCTGCCGTAGATAACTTTGTTCATGCTATACTTGACAGTGATTTTGTAAATAGTGTTAATGTGTTGCAAATGTGAAGTATACGCATAGACTAATAATTGCATTTGTGCGTGTCAGCTTCAAGAAAATTTCAATTTTTAGGATTTTTAGCTTC